CACAGCTGCACGATCTGCAGCTATGGTGATGGCACAGGTCTGCACCTGGTTTGATCCTTGGTGTGTGAGGTTACTCCCAGTTCAGGGCAAGTCTGCTGCAGCTAACAACCATAAGTGTTGCAAAATAAGCCACTGGGCTTTAGCCACTTAAAAACCAAACTCTTAAATGGAATAACAAGAATGGTAATTGCGGTGCAAATGCAAGGAAATGATTCATGGTGGCTGCATCTGCCCTCTTCTTTGTAATCTTCACGGAGGGAAGATAGAAGGTAGATTCTAACTGGGCTATTTTGACTCGGGGTTTGATTTTTGCCAAGTAAATAAATTACATGACTCCTGAGAAGTAATGATAAGATCAAACCACGGCCATCCGGTCTATTGTGACGCTTAGCCAGCCTCGGTGATCGAGTAGAATGGCTGCTTAGGGTTTCGGAGACTGTAAGCCTTTACTAGCACACACACGGCCTCCCCTTTCTCGGAGGAAGGTTGGTGGATTCACACAGCTGACCTTGTAGTTAACAGCCCAGTGTGTAACCCATGACATGAGCCACCAGAGCTCCTGAGAACCCAATAGTAGTTGTAGAAATCACCGAGAGGAGCCAGAGTAGGTGGATTGGTAGCAAGTCATGGAATTAAAGCCTCTGCCTCTTTTAATTAAGTACCCACACTGGGAGGATAAGGAAATATTGTAGACAAAGTTTTCAGCAAGATGTACATATGTCTGGGTCCTAACTTGCTGCTTCTAGTTGAACTTGCTATTGGTTAGTGGATCAATGTTAACCTTAGATAACCCAGGGTGTATGTGTGGGTGGGTGGGGTGGGGGGTGGATGATGGAATCATCCTGGTTAGCCTGAGACACCTCAGTGGTAGCCCTGAAAGTCTCACATCTCAGAAACTCCCCAGCCACAGGCAAACCAGTAGGAGGGACCATGTGTACAGAAGCCGGGCAGCTCTTGTGATTCATCCTGCCACGGGCAAATGCAGAGCAGGGGTGGAGGGACCAAAGGGGTGAGAGCCCAGCTGAGGACTAAGAGCACCCACGAAGGAGGAGTCCACAGGAGAAGGGGACGTGCAGACAGGCAGGACCAAAGCACAGCTCCCACGGGGCTAGCGTGTGCAGGCCTGGCAGACTGACAGACTGGCCTGCATTGTGAGCAACATGACACGGTAGACATTTATTTAGCATAGCAGGGAGGAATGCATGTGCGCTGCACAAGGTTGTGTATGCATTTCATAAAGGGAATTTGTGCATTCATTAACTCTGATTAAAAAGTAAACTTAACTTCACAGTTTTCCCATTTATTTTCATAAGTAATTTACTTAAAAACAATAGAAGGTACTTGCATGGTTATTGCCTTCAAGTTCGCTGGGAAAGTATCTTTTTAAAAAAAATCATTTTATTAGGGGCTCACACAACTCTTATCACCATCCATACACACATCAATTGTGTAAAGCGCATTTGTACATTCATTGCCCTCATCATTCTCAAAACATTT